TGCATTTGCTTTGTGACCTAATTTAGAGTTAATTTTGGGAATGTTCTTTGTGGACTTGAAAAGAAAGTATATTCTCTATTACTGGGGTACAAAGTTTGTCCACCAGATCTGCCTTATTATTTATGTTCTTTGGGTCTTCTATATTCTTACTGTAAGTCACCTTTTATTCACAGTTTTGCTCCCCACAGTTTTGGTTACACGAAGTTAACCATAGATCAGCATAAATGAGCACAAAAAAATAAGTTAGTTTGGGAGGGAGAGAGAGCATATTCACATCACTTTTGTTGCCGTATATTGTTATAAATGTTCTATTTTATTAGTTGTTATTGTTGCTAATCTTTTATTGTGCCTAATTTATAAATTAAGCTTTATCATAGTATGTATGGATATGAAAAAATATGTGTATTTAAGGCTGGGCACTATCTGTGGTTTCAGGCTGCCACTGGGGTCCTGGAATGTATCCTCTGTGGATAAGGGGGATTCGTCTATTTATGTTTTGTTCTCCATTTGGTGGTGTGTATTCAATTATCTGAACTAACCTTCCTTCCTTCCTTCCTTCCTTCCTTCCTTCCTTCCTTCCTTCCTTCCTTCCTTCCTTCTTTCCTTCCAGACAGAGTCTTGCTCTGTCTCCTAAGCTAGAGTGCAGTAGTGTTATCATAGCTCACTGCAACCTCAAACTCCTGGGCCCAAGCCATTCTCCTCCCTCAGCCTCCCAAGTAGTTGGGACTGTGCCCTTGCACTACCACACCCAGCAAATATTTCTATTTTTTGTAAAGCTGTGGTCTTGTTCTTTTCCTTTTAATGAGACAGAGTCATATGCTATTGCCCTGTGTAGAATGCTGTGGTATCATCATAGCTCACAGCAACCTCAAACTCCTTGGTTCAAGTGATAATCCTGCCTCAGCCTCCCAAGTAGCTGGGACAAGAGGCACCCACCACCACACCTAACTAGTTTTTCTACTTTTAGTAGAGATGGGGCCTCACTCTTGCTCAGGCTGCTGAAAACTCCTGAGCTCCTCAGGCAATCCTCCTGCCTTGGCCTCCCAGAGTGCTAGGACGACAGGTATGAGCCACTGAGCCTGGCCTGGGGTCTTGTTCTTGCTCAGGCTGATCTCAAATTCCTGGCCTCAAGTAATCCTCCTGTCTTGGCCTCCCAAAGTATTAGGATTACAAGTATGAGCCACCACACTTGGCCTATTTCTTCTTTAATCCTCTGTAGTTTCTGTTATATACAGGAACTGTATATACAATTTCTGCTACATAACAGGTTGTTGCTATGTGACTTGGTGCATATTTCTAACTCTTGAACATTCCTTGTGAACTTTGGCCTTCAGCATAAATCAGTTCTTCCTTGTCTTATTTTATGCTTTGTGGCCGGCATTTTACTTTGTCTTATATCATGATCAAAATTAAACTGAAAAGCTTCTGTACAGATAAGGAGACAACAACCAAAGAAAACAGACAACCAATGGGAAAGGATATTTGCATATTTTGAATCAGACAAAAGCTTGTTAACTAGAATCTATAGAGAACTCAAATTAATCCACATGAAAAAAATCCAACAATCCCATATATCAATGGGCAAGAGAGATGAATAGAACCTTCTCTGAAGAAGACAGATGAATGGCTAGCAAATATGAAAAATGCTCATTGTCTCTAATTATTAGAGAAATGTAAATCAAAAACACCCTGAGATATCATCCATCCCCAGCGAATGGCCCACTTTACAAAATCTCAAAGCTGCAGATGCTGGCATGGATGTGGAGAGAAGGGAACATCTTTACACTGTTGGTAGGACTGCAAACTAATATAACCTTTTTGGTAGTAAGTATGGAGAAACCTCAAAGAACTCAAACTAGACCTCTTGTTTGATCCTGTAATACCATTACTGGGCATCTACCCAGGAGAAAAAAAAATCCTTTTACCATAAGGACACTTGTACTAAACTGTTTATAGCAGCTCAATTTATAATTGCCAAAATGTGGAAACAGCCTAAAGGCCCACCAACCCAGGAATGGATTAACAAGCTGTGGTATGTGTATACCATGGAATATCATTCAACCATTAAAAAAGATGGAGACCTTGCATCCTTTGTATTAACCTGGATGGAAATGGAACACATTATTCTTAATAAAACATCACAAGAATAGAGAAGCAAGAATCCTATGTACTCAATTGTGATATGAGGACCATTAATGACCTAGTACACGGTGGGGGTAAGGGAAGGAGAGAGAGAAGGAGGGAGGGGGGTGAGGGAAAGGAAGAGCAGAGAGAGGGAAGGAGGGAGGGCAGTGGGGGTCTCTATGTGTGACATACCTTTTGGGGGCAGGACACAATTATAAGAGGGATTTTACCTAACAAATGCAATCATTGTAGCCTGGTTTCTTATACCCTCAATGAATCCCCAACAAGGAAAAAAAAATTGATGCATTTTGTTGTTGTTGTTTTTGGGAGTTTCCATTTGCCTTGTATGCTTTTGCCTATCCCTGAATTTTTCACTTTTAAAGTACTTTGTGTTGGGTGTGTCTCTTGCATTCAGCATAGAGATGGGTTTTGCAAATTACATGTTTGTGACTAGTACACTATACACTTCCCAGCATATAACCAGAGTTCCATAAGATATTTGTTTCCATTTTCTTTACTTTTCTCCCTCAATTAGGGGACAGTCTCACCTAGGCTCCTAATCTCCTTGCTAGCAGCATTTGGGACCCATCTGAACCTGAAGTCCCCGAGGAACCACATGGCTTAGCTGGGTTCTCTTTTTCAGTTCTGCCCTGATGGTTCCCACACACCAGCAAAACAGGCTCTCCTCCTTCCACACCGGAGTCCCCACATGCACTTGCTGACAGTGAATGGGAAGAGAGCCAATATCAAAATTTAAAAATGCATTCTCCTCTGCTGCCTTGATGCACAGACTGAAGTTGCCAATATTTGTATTGATGCCTGATATTCCCAAAACATTCCTTAAAATATAATTAAGTGACCTGGGAATAATATCATATCACTTACATCCACTGCTAGAAGGAACTTGAGAAACCACCTACTCAAACTCTCTCTGTTTCTATGATACCCAAATCCATTTTCTAGTCCTGTTTGCATTTTTCTGGAAGTGGTTAACTGGCACTGTCACTCATCCTACGGGTGTGGGTTTGCACAGCTATGCTACATGAAAGCTGTATATGCCAAGAACCTGTATTAGCAGTCTTAGCCTCAAGTTTTTATCTGTCGCATGGGGACAGAAACTCAGGGGGCTGTTGAGAGGACTAAGCAGGGTAACAAATTCAAAGATTAGACACGTAATGAGAATGACTAGGCTGGTAATTAGTTGAGTCCCCTGTGTGTAAGGTAGGAGGTGTGATGAGAGTTCATTCTCTTATCAAAGGAGAAGTGGGACTGGGCTCTGGTATATTGGAGCCTGTTTGCATCATTGTGGGCCTGATCATATTAACAGTTCTTCCAATTTTTCTGGACAAGCAGAAATCTGTGTACTTTGACATTTACTAATTATTCACTATGGTACCTAATTCAAATTTCTTTAAGACACTCGATAGATCATTAAAATACACATATCTGTGGGCTGGGTATACCTGCTGCCTACCACTTGGCAGTCTTTGATCTAAATAATTAGCATAATGCCAAGCACAAGATAGGCACTTAAACTGGGAATTCAACATATCTGAAACCTGCCACATCAGATTCTTGGGGAAAAGGACTTGTTGGATTGGGTGGAAAGAGAGGCTAGGAGACTCGAGAGTAACCAGGACACCAACTGCAGGCTCAGGACATCAGCAGAAATCATGAGGGAAGGAAACAGAATAGGGTGAGGGGGATCAGCAATGAACTCTGCCCCTTCCCAGTCAGCCTGCTCTGACTTCTTTGTCTGACACTCTCTGGCTCTTTCGTACAACTGGACAGTCCCTGTGGGGATATAACTGACATGGGGGGGGGGCACGGAATGAGGTAGTAAGACCCTGCAGCTGGCTGGATCTAGAAGGACCCTAGAGCTTCCATACAGTGAGTTTGCTGGGATGAGAACAGAAAAGACGCTGGACTGGCGGCCAAGGAGGCAACTTTCTCCCTGCCCCTATTCCCTTTGCCTTTTCCCCATCAGCAGCTCCAAAGCTAGCCAAATATTTTCTACTTGACTGGGTTGCAGCTGTCCCACACATGTTCTAAATAAGGGCCAGCAGAGCTGTTCCTATATTTAGCACTTTAATGTGGATGCAAAGGTCACCAAGATTCCCCATTTGCTGGCTCAATTCCTCACTGTCTTTATATCTCATATTTTCCTCCAAGTTACATGTTTTCTGTTCAAGGAAGTTAAAGTATGACTTTGGGGGTAAGGGAGACCCCAAATATTTACTTCCTCTTGGCTGGATTCCTTATAATTGCCACGGATCTGGTGATATATCTGTCCTGTGGCACGCAAAGTCATGAACAGACTTGGGAAACAGCGCTCCAGGCTTGGACCAAAGCCACTCCATTTTTTCTGAGTATAAGAAGAGGTTTAGAGTAGCGAATAGTTTTAACACTTCTCTCATTTAACCCTCCAAGTACATAGTTGAGGTTGCTTTTGCCCAGAGTGGCTAGTTTGTTCACTGATATCTAACAATAAGAGGAAATATTATTATTGCTTATACTCAAGGGAGGGTTTCCTGTGCTGATCACTGTACCTGGATTTCCACAACACTAAAGTGTCTATTTCAATTATTCCAGCCTTGCAGAAGACAAAACTGAGGTTCAGTAGTTTGAGAAACCTGCCCAAAGAGTAGGACACTCAGGATCCTGATTCTAGTTCACCTCTTTCCAGAACCAGTGCTCAGCGTACAGATTCACACACTCACACACACACAGACACACTTTCAGAATGGCCCTTTCATTCTATTCTTTGGAAACCACGGAGTGTTTCGAGAACACGAGAACAACCCGCCCAGAGCTCCCACTTAACCCCAGAGGGCAGGTTGCTGCTGAGATGTGGACGGAGGGTCCGCCCTCTTTACCTGTTCTCAGGGTCAGCCAAGGCCATACTCCGAGTGACATAGCACATCTTCAGGGGGATGCTTTTCCGATCTCTGTGGAAGGAGAAGGACTGCGATGACAGAGGGTCTGCGGAGCTGCCCCCTAACCGAGGGGACTCAGGCGGTGGCGTTTCCCACCCGATCTCCGACACTGGGGACCCTTTCTTCACATAGGGCGTGGCTTCTCGCATGTACTTCACTGCAAGCAAAAGACAACAAGCACTTTTAAGTACATGGAGGCTTCATTTCTGGAAAGTCTGATTGTATTCTTGAGAGAAACTTGCAATGGATAAGCTCTTCATACTGAACCTCTTAAACTCTAAACAAGATTCAGAATTTCTGTCCCTCTCAACATAATTATCCTATTATTTAAATTATATTCCATCATGGATCTCAGACCTGCTATTATGATGTCCTGCAGTTGAGAATGGCTTCTAACTTTTTTCGACTGTCTTTCCTAATTGTAAGCTGTATTCTGGGAAAAAGGCTTAAAAGAAATCAGCAGAGAGTGAGACAGCAGAGTGTACATTAAAGGATATACTATTCCATATAGATGTAAGGAATCTGGCTGCTACAGTCACTACCCATGACACTATTTTCTGCGGGAAGCAAGGATAGAGCTTTCCATTTAATAGTTTTTGACACATACACACAAAGAAATACACATCAGCACACATTTTATAGTGGAAAACAATTTGTAAGAGCTGAAAACTTTTGATAGAAACAACCTAAATGTCCACTAAAAAAAGAACAGGTTAAATAAAGTATAAGACATCTAAACCATGGTTTTTTAAAAATGAGATACAGATAGATGTGTTGATGTGAAAATATCTGTAAGAGCTCTTACTTGTGTATGAAGGAGACAGCTGTATGTATGCTGTAATATCTTTGTGCATAAAATAATAAATATATGTGCTCATATATCTGGAATTATTTCTGGATAAAAATACAAAAATAATGTTAATAGTAGTTAGCTTAAGGAATGGAAATAAAAGCCATGATGATGAAGAAATAGTTACCCTCCTATAGCATTTTTGTGTTCAACTATATGCATATATTACTTTTATAGAAATTAAGAAAAGAACAAAAATAATGTAAGAGCCAAGCATAGTAGACTAAACTTCTGTCCTTTGAGTTTGCCTTGATAGTAAGTATTTTGCCTATTTTGAATTTGAGCATTTGGTCCTCAGACAGATTTTGAGTTAACAGAGCAGCCAGATTCTTAAAACAAGTAATAAAAGCTTCTATATTCTTCTATCACCCACATATGCAGGTTGTCTGTTGCCTGGGGGGATTTGGCTAATTCGCTCACAGGAATCTGTTATTACAAATGGCAATGGGTTGGAATGAGTGCAAACTGTGGGGCCTTTCCTCTAGATCTTTGATGAGTCAGTTTCACTAACTAGTGTCTTCCATGTGCAGCACATGGAACCAGGAAATGGGGACTACAGAGATGAACAGTATGTAGCTCTCATACATAAGAGACACCAAATCCTGGGTAACTCTAGTGGTGGACCAGTTGATGTCCCATTAGATCCCTTTTATCCTATCCTAGCTTCCCTTCTGCCCTGTAGAACTGCTCTTGACCCACAAGAAACCACCAAGTCTGGGAGGCAATAGAGTTGCTGCTCAATCCTCAGACAGAAAATCTTCTAGGGCAGAGTTTCTCAACCTGTGGGTTACGACCCACAGGAACTGTGTTAAAAAGTCACGGCATTAGAAGGTTGAGAACCACTGTTCCAGGAGCTCCATGTAAGATGAGACATAAGTATGTATGAGCTGAATGTATGAGTAGAATGAGCTGAATTTTTAAAAGGCATAAAGTGACCTTAGAAGAACCAATGGGGAAAAAATGAATCTAGGAATATGAAAGATAGATCAGATTCACAAAAATTTAATAAGCAGCTCAAATATACCCAGATGCATGGATATGGATGTATATTGGGGACTAAATCATAGATATCAGAAGTAGACATATTAATACAAATACAAGGCAGAGGAACAATTATTTAGCACCAACACAAACTGAAGGTTGCAGAGTTGTCACTGAATATAAGTGTAATTATGAGCAAACAGCTCCATGGTTGCCCCAAATCTATTAGTACGGGTTGCCATTACAGAGGGGAAGGAATTATTCATGCACTGTGTATTTTAAAGAATATTATTTATTTATGGGCAATATATTTAAAGATTAACATAGAGATACCTAAGACCAAATGAAGAAAATTTAAGGGGACATATTTAAGCTGTCTAACGCTGGAATAAATATACTTCCTTTGAGATACTACATTTTTTCATCTCTAAATCATTTTAGTAAACTCTTTAGTAGTGGTTAGCTTTTTTATTATAGAATTATGCTTATTGAAATGTAGGAAATTCAAGGATCAGCTGAAATGGGTTGAAGATTTTTTTTTTTTTTTTTGCATTGTTACACTTCCTGGCTGGAGTAGGGGTTAAATGCTATAGGAGTAAGAATCCAGGGAGGTTTCATGAAGTAGGTGGCATTTGAACTTGGCCTTAAAGAGTAGTTGTGACTTTAGAAAGTAGAGATAAGAATAACAAACCTTTCTTTATAAAACATGCTCTGATTTAAAATTTTTATTGCAGTTCCATAGGAAAGGTAAGTTGCATCTCAGTTTGGAAGGAAAAGAGAGAAAAAGATCATTTATCATACACTTAATGATGTGTCAAGTATTGAACCAGATGCTTTACATATTGTTCTGAACTAAGGCTTCAAAATTATAATTTAAGTTCCCACTTTGTATATAATGAAATTAAAGTCTAGAGAAGAAATGGGTAAGGTATGTTCCATGTATTATGTGTCCATTGTCCACAAGATTTACAAAGATAAATCACTATCCCTTTTATACCCTGCTCAGAGGAAATGCCTTGAAGTGCTATTCTCATTCAGTGAATGCTAGCTGCATTATCTAGGTGATCCCTTGTAGGTTACTGTACATATCAGCGCACTGATGTTCAGATGTTTAGCTTGTGTGGAGTGCCATGGTTAGTACATGGTGGACCTAGAGTTTGATTTCCTAAAAGCCATATTCTCTCATGAGTTCTGGCTACACCATATTTATGACAAGCTAATAGGGTGAGGCTTTATTCTATAGGCAGTAGTGATAGTCTTGGTGGCTTATGGGCAACAGGGTGGCAGAATCAAAGATCAGCTTTGAGAGAACTGAAAAGTTAGATTGACTGTACTTAAGGGAAAACATATTAGAAGTAAATCTACTAGATCCAGGGAATTGGGACTTATGGCCACAGATAACCCAAGCAACACTCTAAACATCCATATAAAATGTAAAGAAATTCCAGAAATGTATGGTTTGAGCCACTCCAAGGCAAAAGCATAGGGAGTATAGTAAATCTCAGCTTGGAAGCAACTATTTACCAGGAAACTACTTCTTGTAGTTTCTTGCACAGCACTAGGGACATTTAAAGAAGAGAGAAGGCATAGAAACACCTTGAAGAAAATAGATCCTATGGGGAATAACACCCAATATATAGTAATCCTTTCAACTGACCAACTGAAAAATAAAGACAGAAAATAACAAGGTAGGTGTGATAATTTAAAGATTCATTTATTGAGCAAAAATTTATTGATCAATTTTCATGTCCTAAGAACTGTGCTGCCATGAAAGATGATAAGAAATGGCCCCCAGTTAGAAGAAATGGAAGCCTAGGAAGTAGGAAGAGAAGTAAATAGATGATATGAAAGAGTAAATAGATGATATGAAAGCTTGTGTTAACTTTTAAGACTGATTTAAAGAGGTCTTAAGCTTGACAAGTCTTTAGAGGCCTCAAAAAATCAAGTGTAAATATTTTCTAGAAGGCAACTTCATCCTAGGCCTCAAGATTCTGTACAAATCATTTTGAAGGGCAATGAGCTGGCATAAAATTAAAGAAAACATCATACACAAAGAAACAAGGCACTATGAGCAAAACCCTGCACAAATGACTACTAGTAGTAACAGTGTCACACATATTATAAAGCTATGGTGGGTTTACAGAAACAAAGGAAAGGAAGAGATTACTACAAAAAAATAATAATAATGTAAAAGATTGGTAAAAGAACTAAACAATAATAATATGTCTGAAGAAGGAATTAGTGAATTACAGATAACATAAAATTATATAGAATGTAGTACAAAGATATAAAAAGATGAAAAATATGGAAGAGAGATTAAAAGATGTGAAGGATATAGCAAGAAAATCTAAACGTGTTTAAATGGAGCCCCAGAAGAGTAGGATACAGAGAATACGGCAAAACTAAGAATGTTCTCAATGCAGATGCCAACCCCACAAGTTCAAGAAACTTGTGAACTTCACATTCAAGACAAATAGAAATAAGGTGTCATCCTTCTTTATACTTTGGGTGAGGAAAAAGGGATCATATTTTCTTTAGAATTTATGTTTCTTCTAAAAGTTTTAGTTATCACCTAGTGCTTTTTGCTAATGTTAGAAGGAAGTCCCGTCAAAATCCTTAAATTCTGGGTTCCAACCATCAAGATCAAATCCCCAGCAGCAGGAAGGAGGAAGAAGTGAAAAACACACCATTCTTCTTCCTTTAAGGTGACACTTCAGAGATTGACATATTATTTCTGCTTATATCCTACTGGCTAGAACTTAGTCACATGGACACTGCTAGATGGAAGAGAAATTTATGCCTTACTCTTGACAGCTGTGTTCCCACCCAGCTAAAAATTGGTGGGGAGAGGAGGCTATTACTGTGGAAAAAAGAAGAGAATAAATATTAGGTGACAATTTGGCTTTTGTCGTAGAGAGACATTCCTAATTCTTTCAGGACTTAACACAATTAGATTTTACAATACAAAATGTAAGTAAATATGTTAGAAGAGTTTGTAAAGAACAGAATGACTACTTTCCATACAGTTTAGTTGAGTATTTTTTGCATACTAACTCACTTGAACCTCACAACAATCCTCTAATATAGCCATTATAATCATCCCTATTTTACAAAACATGCAAATGTAAGGGTAAGTCATTTGCCCAGAGTTGCTGCTGGAAAATAACAGAAGCATGAGGTAAAGCCAGGCACACTGGCTGCAGAGTCCTTCCTTTTAACCATGAAGCAATACTGTTTAGCACACTTAAAAGAAAATTAATTGTGTGTGTGTGTGTGTGTGTGTGTGCTTAAGCCAATGTTTTTATGTGCTAAGGGAAAACATCCAA